GAGGAAAGAGAAGAACTGGGACATGAAGTTGACCAAATTATGCTAGATACATGTGTGAATGTATCACAATGCCCTCCAATTGTGTATAATTATAATGCACCAATTTTAAAAATAAGGAATACCAAAAAAATAGAAGATGATGATCTGGAGAAAGGAGAAGGGGAGGAAAAGAAGAAGTACTGGAGACTAAAATAGAGCAAACTATAATATATACATTAATGAATATGTCAAAATGAACTCCTCTGTTTTGTATGATTACAATATACTAATAAAAACATTTTAAAAATCCAACAAAATTTTGTATATGTGTATAGAACTTGACAAGCTAGCTCTAAAATTTGCATAGAAATATATGAATATAGAAAATAGTTTAGATGTCTTTAAAAATAAAAGAAAAAGACTTAAGCTAGCCAATGAAGAATTAGTAAATCTGCATAATTGAGATCCTATAGAATTGACCTAAAAGTCTTCAAACAGACAAGAGTACAAGCCTCATAAAAGTGGTTCTGCAGAGTGACAAAGAAAGAAGTCTTCAACAAACTGTCCTGAGACAATTGGATATTCATATGAGGAAAAAGGTTTACTTCCCTCTTATACTAAATCATACATTTATATATATATAAATCAATCTCATCTGTATTGTAGCTCTAGATGCAAAATACAAATAAAATGCCTAGTATTGTATCTTTGATACAGTAGCAACCAGCCATACAAGACAGATTAAATTTAAAATTTAATTTACAATTCAATTCTTCAGTCACATTAGCTACGTTTCAAATGCTTATTAGCCCTTGGAAACAGTAATTGATGGCACAGATACAGAACAATCCCATTATTATAGAAAGCTTCTAGGATCATTTTTTACCTTAGTGTTGGAAAAATTAAGCAGAATACACACATAAAAATACCAAAAAGAAAAAGATTGATCAACTGCACTATATTAAAAAGTTCTGTTTATCAAAAGATAATGCTAAGAGAATAAAAAAAAGCTGTGACAAGCACAGGTAGTTGTAGAATATAAGTCAAAAAGGGCTTATATTCAAATTATGCAGTGAACTCATAAAATCAATAGATAGACCAATGATAAGATAAAGATACAGCCCAATAGAAATCTGGGCAAGATTCTGAACAAGCACTTCAAAAGAGGATACTCCAGTGAGTAGCTAAGGAAATGAAACTTAAGCCATAATGAGATCCGCTGCAGCATGTGTCCACTGGGATGGCTACATAAGACTAAAGACTCCAAATATTGAGGTGAAGGAGGAATAATGGGAATAAACGCTTATGAGGTTGTACATTAGAATAAACACTTTAGAAAACTATTTGGTAATATCAAAAGTTGAAATATATCTTCATATATCTTCATATCCCATAATGACCAATTTCACTTTTGTTATAAACTCAATAGAAGTGCATGGACATATACATAAAAATAGGTATGAAAATATTTACAATAGTAGCATTATTCATAGACTCTCAAACTGGAAATAATCCAAATGTTTTATTGATCAGTAGAATGAAAAAAAAATCGCGATTTATCCAAATAATGGACCAGTACCTAGTATTAAAATGAGTCAAATAAAACCATGAACCACTTCAAAAATAATTCTGAGAAAAAGAAATCTATACAAAAGGATGTATATAGCATGTTTTTCATGTAATGTTCTTTAAGCGGGCAAAACTGAAATGTTAGATGTCAAGGCAATAACTTCCTTTGGGAGAAAGAGAATATGTTTGATAAAGGACATGAAAGAGGCTTTTGGGATACTAAAAATTGTCTATTCTTGAACTTGGTGTTTACATGGATATTTCTTTGTTGTAAATACACTACATGTCTTGTACACTTTTGTGTATGTATGTTACAAGATTTTAAATGTTTCATTCTTTAAAATAAATGTCCAGAGACATAAATTTTTTGTGAAAATATTCCTCTGGAAGATTATTGAAAGTTTGGTCTAAAGCTGCCATCATACAGATTTTAAGTTTAGCCTAAGGATTTTTCTGTACATAGTGACATATCCTAACTTTATATGTAAACAGACTACAACATTTTCTTGTAAGGAGTAGCAAAGTCTCAGCCAAACACAAGTAACCAACCATTCAAACCATGTTCAAATGAGATAGATGCAAACTATAAGCAATGGAGCTCAGTGCCTCACTTCCTTTGTCACTATGTGTATTGATCAGATTTCTATCCCTGTGACAAAACACCTGAGATATATCGACTTAAAGGATAAAAGATTTATTTTGGCTCACAATTTTGAAGGTTTCAGTCCATGATCACTTGGTTTTCACTGTTTCTGGGCGTAATTCCAATAACAACTTCATTCCACTAGGCCCAGCTTCCTAAAGATTTCACCATCTCTGAACAACACCATAAACTGGCAATCCAGCCTTCAACACATGAGATTTTGGGGACACTCCAGATTCAAGTCATAACAGTATGTCACTACATTTTCTCTGGTTCTCAATGACATATGTGGTGGGGTGGGGCATTCTGAACCATTTTCCATCCAGACTACTCCCTAATTCTAGAATAGCAAACAAGTCGATTAAGATCTGCAAAACAAGATTTGTTGTGATTTTGTCTTTTATCAGACAAGCAATTCTCTAATTTTATAAATTACCCAATCTGTATGCAGTAATAGCAACAGAAAATGGACTAAGATGGAAAGTTTAGTTGATAGAGAATCAGAGCTTTGAACTGAGAAGAGGCAAAGGCAACTGAGGTCCATGAAATAAATTTTAGCTCAATAACAGCCTGATCTGATGCTTTTTGGTATTTGTAAATCAGATCTCTTTGTGTTTCTGTATTCACTACACACTAAAGGCCTATTTCTATGCCCAACACTGCTTGAACATTATAATATACAATGGAGAATAACAGGGATGCTCTCCATGTTCAGAGAGCTTACAGTTTGAGAGGGAAGCACAGACATTAAATGAAGTACACAATCTGCCATTGAATTTAAAGAAAGAACCAGGATTAAACACCATGCTGCTTCTTGCTGACTGATAGCTGTATTTGATCATGCTATTGTTTAACTTGACATTAGGAAACTCCTAAATGAGGTCGATAAATTCCAATACAGTTCAGAGTATCAAAGAGTTTTACTTAAGGCAGCTTTTAAAATCCTGATGTCTAGGACACACCCAAGACCAGAAA